ATATTTGACGATTTTGGTTGTTCTTTTCTTGGCATATTTTGGATTGCATTTGCTTTGTTTCGGTTCAGTAGTTTTGGTTATAGACTTTGCTTTGTATTTGGCATTTGTTTTGTTATCGTTTGGTTTAAGTATAGGTTTTGTCGGTTAGACTTTTATAAAATGGCTAAAGAAAATCTGAATGTTAATGGAGAAGTTGAAGAATGTACTGTCGTCCCTATTGTTGGTGACGGTGCATGTTTGTTTGGTGCTCTCTCTTATTCAATGTACGGAACACAAGATAGAGCGACGAAGGTGCGTTCAGAAATAGTCAGATATGTGGTTAATGACTGGAGCAAGTTTTCAATTATGAACCACGACAGGAATGGTGATAACTACGTAACACCTGACGAATATTTTGGTGATATGATGAAAAATGCTACTTATGGCGGATTTTGTGAGTTAATAGCAGCAGCATTGTTATTTCCATTTGAGATTGAAGTTTATAGAAACGATCTCATATATACGGAATCTGGATCAAACGACTATCCGGTAAGGCGATTACGATTCAGCAAAGGTTTGTCCAGTGGGCATTTTGATGCCTATCTTTCCATAGCAGTACAGAAAATTACTCGACGTCGTATGGAGGTAGCTGTAGAAGAACATGATTTTGGAATTGATACACCTTCGCAACTTAAAGTTGATAAGGGTTGTCAGGAGGGACCTGTTTTAGAGCGTGAACATTCACCTATTGTATCTTCAATGAATTATGATGAAAATTTAATAAGAAGTTTATTGTCCCAATCTGAGTCTGTGACATTAATAAAAAAAAAAGAAAAACAAACGTAGGGCAAGGTTCACTGATTACACACGAAAAAATCAAATGAAAAAAGGCATAAAAAAATATGAGCAGACTCTAACCTGAATCCCACCGTAACGCTGTGTCTGAATATAAAAAAAACCCTGATATACAGAGACAAGCTGTCGCCACCTACCAGGCTACACACCCTGAAAAACACAGGCAAGCTATCGCCACCTACCAAGCTGCACACCCTGAAAAACACAGGCAATCTGTCGCTACCTACCAGGCTGCAAAACCTGAAAAACAGGCAATCTGCTGCACTATATCAGGCCAGGAATATCGATGTGCGAGGAGTGATTCAGTCACGGTATAGAGAAAATACAATTCAGCGGGTATGGAAAAGCAAGTTACTTTCGAGTTTGGCGTATGACCCAGATATTGTTTATGGAACTGACAGCAGTGTAGTCTTAGGTTCAATGACGTACAAGTGTCAGTGGTGTAAAGCCTTGAAATGGAAAGATGAGACACCTGACGTGTTGTAGCGCCGGTAAAGTACAAATTGAGCCGTTTAAACAACTGCCTGAACCACTTCACAGTCTGGTTAATGATTTACACCCAAATCATGTACACTTCAAAAATATAATGCCTGTTTTCAAATGACTTCTTTTGGTGGAAAACAAATAAGAGAAGGCAGTTTTTCACCAACTTTTAGAGTTCAAGAACAAGTCTATCATTTAATTGGAAGTATATTACCGGAACCTGGGCAGGATGCACAGTTTCTGCAAATTTATTTCTTCGGTGAAGATGATAGAGAAGCTTATATTCGATGTTCTAAATTTCCTGATTTGAAACCAAATTCAATCAAACAATTGCAGCTTATGTTACATGAGGTGAACCCATATATAAAACATCTAAAAACAGCCATTAATAAAATATCGCCTTCAGAGTCATTCAAGGTCGTAATACATGCAGATGAAAAGTCACAAAGAGAACACAGAGGCAGATTCAATGCACCAATGGCAAATGAAGTGGCTGTTGTATTGGTAGATCAGTATTTTGACCTAAGAGACATCATCCTCGAAAGCCGAAGTAACTCACTTCAGCGTATGAGTGAGATACATCGAGCTTATGACGCGCTGCAGTACCCGTTGATGTTTTGCTGTGGGGATGATGGCTATTCAATCAACATACCATAATGCTTTCCCACAACTAAGTTGCCCTTGAAAAAAACAGTCTCTGCTGTAAGTTTTTATTCATATAGAATAATGATCAGAAAAGGAGAAGATAACTGTTTGGTTAAATATGGCGCTCTTTTTAGTCAATATTTGGTAAATGAATACGCAAAAATAGAAACTGAAAGACTAAACTACATAAAAAACAATCGAGCCAAATTGCACGCAGATAATTATATTCATTTCGAAGGTGCAATTGGATACTGAAGCAAATCAGCTGGGACAAATGGTAGTACTTCCATCATCTTTTACTAGTGGACCGAGATACATGCACGAAAAAACACAAGACGCCATGATCTATGTTAGACATTACGGTCGTCCCAACCTTTTCATTACTTTTACATGTAACCCACGCTGAAGTGACATAAATGAGCACTTACTTTCAGGAAAAAAATCTCATGATAGATACGATATTATTTCGCGTGTCTTTCGATTAATGGTAAAAAAGGTTATGGATTTGTTGATAAAAGGGAAAAAATTTGGTGAAGTGAGATGCTATACGTATTCGAGGAAATGGCAAAAGCGAGGTCTTCCGCATATTCATATACTTTTATGGCTTCAACATCGCATCACTCCGGATCAAATTGACAATATTATTTGTGCTGAAATACCTAACCCTGATCATGCAGAACTTGTGCGACAAATTGAGTAGTCCTCCTACAACTACACTCCTCTCTTTTTTCGATCTGTGTAACGTGGGTGACTTTGCAAAAACATTGCTATACTCGGAAGTCCCTGCATATTACGTATAGAACAAGCGATCATTTCAGAGACGACAGAGAGGAGTGAATGTTGAAGGATGGTCAGGGGTTAAAAAAGAACACGTTCTAGGTAGGGTTTATACTGTTCATCCAAACAATACAGAATGCTACCAATACCAATGCTTTCATTTGAAGTGTTGAAAAACTGTAGATGTTCACTTACATCCCACTTTCCAATCCGTGTGCAATGCTCTAGGTCTACTCGAAGATGATCGGCATTTGGATTCAGCTCTTGAGAGGCAGCACTTTGTCAAACACCGCATATGATTCGAGAGCTTATTGCTATCATTTTATTGTTCTGCCAGGTTTCCGACCCCCAATGTCTTTGGGAAAAATATGAAGAATGCATTTCTGAAGACTTCAAAAAACAACTGGAAAGGCAAGGTGACCTGGATGTAGAGCACTCATCGGACCTGATATTTAACAAATGCCTGTCGATATTAGAGAATGCCGTATTATCATTAGGCGGCCGTCCTCTTAAAGAGTATGGATTACCTCAGCCAATAACATCAATACATTTTGAAAATAGAGAGTACGTGATGGAGACCAGTTACGATACAGTGGCCTAAGAAGACGCAGTAGGAAAAAATGAAGCATACTTGAATGACGAGCAACAGGAAGTTTACAATAGAATTATCATAGGTGTAAATGCAAATGACGGTCGAATATTCTTCTCAAACGCCCCAGGTGGAATTGGTAAAACCTTTCTCATTAATTTACTTTTGGCGAAGGTGAAAGGTACTCACGGTATTGCCCTGGCTATGGCGTCATTCGGCATAGCTGCTACATTACTCGAAAGTGGTCGAACTGCTCATGCTACTTTTAAGTTACCACTCAATTCAATCACTGCCGATACTCCCTTTTTCACCTTTTCCAACCAGTGTTTTTTTTGTGGTTTTTTAGAGTGTGTAAATATTCTTATGTGGGGCGATATCGCTGTGTGTTATAGGTGTTGTTTTGGCGTTTTACACATATCTCTGGGGTATATGGGGTGTTATACAATTTTTGTGTGTGGGGGAGTTTTTTGGGAGTCTACCAGTGGTGCCAAAAGAAACCAGAGCTGACGAAGTAAGGTCGTGCATTAAGAAATCTAATTTGTGGCCCCATGTTGATATTTTTAAGCTCTCTAAAAATATGAGAGCACATTTAGGCGAGGATGAGTCTGCTGGTACATTTTCAGATCTCCTTCTTAAAATCGGTAATGGTGATTTTCCATCGTTTGATGGAATGACAACCATCCTGGAAGAATTGTGCACAGTTGTTACTACGGTTCAAGAATTGCTGTCTAAAGTATATCCAGACATTATTCATATACATGACAAGCCTATTGAATGGTTATGTGAGCGTGCCATACTTACCCCAAAGAACGATCAAGCAGCAGCTATCAACGATATTCTGCTCATGTCGTTTGAGGGCGAAGAAAAGGTCTGTACTTCGATTGATACTGTGGTTAATACAGATGACGCTACTAATTACCCTGTAGAATTTTTAAATTCATTGAAACCGCCAGGTTAGCCTTGTCATAATCTTATTCGGCGTGTGGGCACTCCAAGTATGTTGTTGCGAAATTTAAAACCACCAAAACTTTGTGACGGTACGAGACTGCAAGTGAAAGCATTACATCGCAATATAGTGTAAGCCACTATATTAATTGGGTGTGCGAAAGGGGAAACTATATTTATACCACGAATCCCATTAATACCTGATGATATCCCATTCGAATTTAAAGGATTACAGTTTCCCCTAAAAGTCTGCTTTGCCATTACAATAAACAAGTCTCAGGGGCAAACTCAAATTTGCGGGTATTGACTTGAGAGAATATTGCTTCTCTCATGGACAGTTTTATGTTGCTTGCTCATGACTGAGTTCACTCAATAGCTTGATAGTTTTAGCGCCTAATGACATATTGGTTAAGAATATTCTGTACAAAGAAGTTTTATAGGCCCTGATTTTTTACACACGTTAAACAAAAGTAAAGCCGCAAAAACTATACCTTATTGATAATAATACTTCTTAACGCGAGTGAAGCCGCGGGCAAAAGCTAGTTTTCAGTATATGAGTCTACTAGGCATGAGTAGGCATGGGTTGATTGAAAGAAAAAGGGGTACTTAAACGTAAATATGAACTTACCCCTTCTTCATTGGTGGTAAATCTTGTATATCTTGATATTAAACTGAGGAATGACCATCATTCAAGGTTTCTCAGTTCAAAAATTTCTTTCTCTTGCAGGGAGCAGGAGCAGTTGTGAATTTTTTCGGCGTGGCCAATATTGGAGCTAGCGGAGCCAGCATTGTTAATTCGGGTTATGACGTATTTGACCAATGGTATAACGAGAACCGAAAACCATCCCTACTGACCATCGTTCAGCTGAGCTCATCGATACTTTTCTTCGGAAACGCTCTTTATAACTTCAAGACCTGCTCAACTATTGTAGAAGAAACTCAAGCTAAAACATTGCAAGACTATCAGGCTTCGCTGAGGAGTAATAGACATAGGTAAGATTCGTAAAGTGCTGTTAGATTTGTAGATTACAAGACAAAATTAAGATGAGTTATTGATATTGACTATTGACTAATGTCATGAGTACAATCTTACATTTTAGATTGTTATGTCCATGACTTTTTTATTTCATTCATATGAAATGCGTTCTCAAAATCTCTGTATTATATACATGGCCGTGGATGTCAAGCAGGTAGCTATTGTTGTCTTTGTGGAGACGTTTTATGATGCCTCCAACTCAAGGCCATCTGACGGAGACCACAAAAACAGGCTATGATGCTCATTTTTGCACTCAGTTGTATCGTATTGAATACGGTAAATAAATCAGAAGCTTAGGATCTGAAGGACTCCCGCACCAAGCCTCATGTGAAACAGTTTTTGTGGAAATCTCGGAACTTTTTATATGTAATCCATAATGTTCTAATGGACATTTTTCGCAATCAAATCTCTCTACTCTCCAGTATGAATTACACAAGGGTTCAAATAGAAAAATATTTTCAGTCTCATCGGATTTGATTCACTTTTCAGTATAATGGTTTCAAATAGAACATATACCACAAAAATTTGTCATAAAAAATGATCAGTCTTGAAAAATTTGAATTTATTTATTCGGTTCATTACTATCATTACACATATTGTGTGACATCCTGTACATAAAGTTCGTGATCAAAAATGGGTTTACCGCCTCTCTCAATTGTCGGTCGTGCACTGTAAAAAAACAGAAAACGATCGAATGCATCGCAAAATCCGATTTGATATCGCTCTCGTTTAATCAGTCTACTGAAAGTCCAAAAACTATCACTGGTTAGGCTACAACTGAAAGGAAAAACTGAATGGTAAGATCTATTACATGACTGACGATTTTCGGATCATTTGGCCTGTTATTGATAGATGATTGGTGAAATTGATTTTCATGAATAGAATTTGAAAATCTGTCTCTTATATTCACTCGTTTGTTTTGAGTAAAAATAAAAACGAGAAATTGGTTTTGGAGTTTGTGCGTGATTTTGGTTTCATTCTCATATCTCGTGAGTGGTTTGTTCGATTTTTTCATTTGAATATGCTTTTTTTGATGAATAATCAATATTTTGAATTACCTCCCTTGCTTACAGTTGAATTTTTTTCCATTAGAAACAGTTTTATATATGAATTGAAGGGGTTATATTTTTAGGAGTGATTGATTTTTGGGAAAGAAAGTTTTTGGCTTTCTACTACTTCCTCTTGATACAAAAAAAATGGATGAGGGAATCTTCCAAAGAAAGGAAGGAAATAATCAATTTTAAATACATGGATGTGTAGATCATGCAAAGAAGTAACTGCCTAAAATCAGATATCATTCACATGAGTTCTACTTGAAATGAATGGTAACAAATTGCATTTACATAGAACACTGTCATCCTCACTGGTATACAGCGGTGTTTTGCCTCAAGACACTTGCCCTAAGGCTCTTCAGTACCAAATTGGATAACTTTTTTTTGTATCAAGAGGGAGTAGTAGAAAGCCAAAAACTTTCTTTCCCAAAAAGTTTTATATAGTTTGCTCAATGCTTAATGAATATCTCCAGGTTCATTGATTTAGGTATATTTTCCCAAATTTGAGTCTCAAGACAACTCAGTGTTCTCGTCGGGTATCCCATTAGGGGAAAATAATATTTTTTTTATTGAGTTTAAAGTTAGGACGTTACTCAGTAACTTTGAAAATGTCACTCGAAGTTGAAAAATAACCTGTCCTTAGAAAAATTACAATGGATAGGCTGCTTGGATTATATAATGTTGCCTATAAAATCAAAGTGACAGTACTCATGACACTGCTTTGAAAACCAAATATCAGAAATCACATATGACATATATGAAGAATTTGATGTAAATCACAGTGACATTATACACATTTTTGCTGCTTAAAAGATAAAAGATACTACTCATGTGATATCTAAACAATGAATGTACTTGTAATTTATAAGATCATAAATTAGGTAGTCAAATGAACCATTTATAATGAAATACGTGTTAACTTGAGTTGCCGGCAAATTACGAAACAAAATTGCCCCTGTTATGTGATACTAAAAACTTCTATCTGGTTTGGAGCAGTGTTCCAAGCTTTTGAGAAGCAGCCTTCACAATTCCAACGACATGATTGTGCCAAGACATATGTGTGTCCATTTTAACCTCCAACAAACTTATCGAAGCAGAAAGCGGAATTGTCTGACCTGACATTATTATATCCGGTTTCGAGACATTTATCTTCTTGGAGAAAACCAATGCCTGGGTTTTTGTGGCATTGAAATCGAACCTGATTACTTCCACCCCAATTCGAAATCACTTCTAGATACTCATTAAGATATGTATCCTCCTGCTGCCTGTGAAGATGTGCCTCCGTAGCCAATGTCCTGGAATACAAATGGAATGACGAGACAAGTGTACTGTCGTCACCAAAGTAATATACTGGGCTCTTGGTTTTTTCCAATAAGTCGTTCATATACAGTAAAAAGAGGGTTGGAGGCAATATGGACCCTGGGGAACACCAGCGTTAATGGTGAAAGAATTTCGAAGAATGTTTCATTAACTGCCAATAATCTGTATGATAATGAATAACGAATAATAATAATAATGTATAATAATAATGAATAATAATTATGAATAATAATGAAGACATATTTTATGCAAATCCTATAGAACGTTATCAAAATAAAAGATCACTCATACTGGAAACAAATATGTAATTCAAATCATCTAAAGCAACAATTCGTTCAGGCCAGTCCCAACTCCCTACACTGTAGGTTAATAGACTGACACCTATCAGAAAACAACTACTCCTTCCACGAAGGAATTTGGATTGTATCTGACAGGTATCAGTGCACTGAAGTATTTCCTGCATATGCTGTTGTCGATACAACTGTCGGAATCGATTTTCAATTATTGAACGGGCACACTTTCAGACCGGTTTCGGGCAATTTGGTCTCTCGTCAGTGAAGGTAGTGGCCATCATCAACATAGAGTCAATGATATTCCATAATTGAAATTCGAATTCCTTTCAGTGTATCATTCCTCGAACTAAGCTGAAGCAAATAATAAGCAACATGTTTGTCATCACCTGATAAACAAGGTATCAACCAACCGCATATCCGAAATTCACTCAATTCAGTGAGAATACTTGAAGACTGGCTATAAATCAAATCATCTAAAGGTACAGTCCATCCAGGCCAGATGATTTGATTAATAGCCAGTGTTCAAATATGCCTACTGACGATATGTGAAAAATATGTAATTTTTAGAGATATGAAAAAATAGTTTAGTGAAACTTATTAAATACAAAATGCAAAGTAAAATATTTTGAATGAAAGTATATACATACAGAATGCAAACTACGTAATTTCTAAATAGATTTTCCAAATGAAGTAACTTGTTACCCATTCAACTGATTTCAATACTAGTATTTGTTCAAAGAGTTGATCATGTTTTATCTGTGTAGCCTCCTAATCATTCCATCACTTACCAAGTTCTGCACCGTTCAACAGGTGCAGAACTTGGTGAGAAAGTATTTAAGAAAGAGTTTTTTCATATTTAGATATCTGTTCAAAGATTCTAGAGCATTATCTCCATTATTGTAGTATTGACAGTGTCACTGGCTGCTGCATAATCAGAGTCCTCAGTAAACATATAATAAGATTCAGCCCTTTCTTTCTTTTCATCAGAGTCAATATGTTGGACTTAGGAACTCTTTTCGTCTTCTCGTTTCATCTTTCTCATTTCTGGAACAAATAGTCTTTCAATGTATCCTCTTTTGGCTTTTGGCACCCATTTCATTTAGAAAAAAATTATAAGATGCGAATGACATTATGGCATCTTTTGCTTTCGACTCCTCTAGTTTCTAAAATTTCTGAAAATTCCTTTCAAGACTTTCTTTTAAAACTTCAATCAATACATCACAATATGTTATCCATTTGCAAACTGCTTAGAATTCTTCGCATTTTCAGTAATTCTGGTGTAAGTTTCTTTGAAGTTTCACTAAGGGTATTCATTACTGCCAGTAGATCTTGAATGCAATTATAATATGAATATGTTGGAAATGGAGAAGTGAGGGATTTAAATGGATTTCACAAGCTTCAGGAGATCTTGAACATTGATTCCAAACCGCTTGACATTTTGCCATAGCTACGTCATAAAAATTTTTGTATGAATTACTTTGGGCTCTAACCTTATCCATATATTTTGCAGTTATTGAATGTAATGTATGTGTGGCACACACAAATGACCCCGGAAATTGCCTTAGGGTTACCACAATATCATCATCACCATCTTCAATATTATCATACATAACTTCAATATTTTGGATAAGAGCTGAATCTCTTTCACTTAGTTCTAAATATGAATCTCGTCCATATACATTGAAAGCTTTGACCATATTTGATCCATTGTCTGTAATAGTCTTTATTATTTTTCGCAGTATTAAATCAAATTCAGAATGATATCTGCAATCAGCTGAGCTACTTCATTATAACTATGTGTTTCCTTAAACCTCCAGCAAGCCAAAATTGCAATTAATTCGATCAAATATATCACAATCAATCCAATTCTTCCCTTAGATAATGACCATATATCATCCGTGGTGCATACAAATTAACCTTTTTCAATTGTTCATTTGTATTTTGTACATATTTGGTGTCTTGTTCTGCAATTTTGTATTACATGTTTGCCGGCACAAAATTTTTGGTGGAACAGTCAATTGCTGTGCACCCTGAATAAGAGCTTTGAACGATCCATTTTTTACAATTGATATGTGTGACTTGGTAAGATGGCTAAAAGAGTTGATTGTTTCAATATTTTAGATGAATGAACCACTCATCAGCATCACCAACACATTTTCTCTTCTTGTTATGTTGAATTTTGACTTTCTCATACTCTGCTGATAGATCAGCATATCCTTTTCTCTGCAAAAGTATAATCAATAGTTTATTGTTTGAAGCATAGAATATCTGCGGTTATATTATTTAATATTG